TCAGTCATTATGTTTGGAGATTTTAACTCCAAGCATACTGAATGGACATGCCGTACTACGTCCCCTAGTGGCAAGATACTGCTCGATATCACGCAGTCTCTTGATATTACCGTCCATAGACCCCTCGGTGTTACTCACTTTCCCGATAACACCGATCAAGCCCCCGATGTACTAGATTTTGCGTTACTCCAAGGAGTTTCTCTCAACCTCAGAGCAATCGAGACACTAGACGATCTAGGATCCGACCACCAACCGATCTCCCTCATTCTTGGCCATCAGCCACCTCCACCAACACACACGAAAACCTTCACTAATTGGAAGGGATTCAAGGAGTCTTTAGCTAAAGCTCTGGACTCACAGGACTCTACCATCTCCCTATCGTCGGACTTAGACACTCCCGAAAAAATCGACACCGCGGTCGATTCACTCTCCACCCTTATCAAATCCTCCTTTAAGGAGAACGAAAGGGTCGTCCCGGTTGCTAACAATATTGGGCTTCCCCTACATATTGGCAACCTATTAAAGGCCAAAAAAGCTGCTTTCCGGAGAGCAGCAAAATATCCCACCACCGAATATAGGCGCGCGGCCAATCGTCTTCAACGAGAACTCCGTTTCCGCCTCTCTGAATTTCGAGACCTCGAAAAGAGTAAACTCATGGAGAATATCTCTCCATCTCATACAGCGTACTATCAGATGGCTAGAGCCCTCCGCATAGACGCTATCACCCACACTCCCCCTCTCTTCCGTCCCGACGGCACGGTTGCCTTCGAGGACGAGGAAAAGGCTGAGTGATTTGCAGATAGCATTGCCCCACAATGCTCTCCTAGCTCTCAACCCGTCGACCCCTCACACGTCCAGGCAGTGGAGGATGAGGTCCGTCTCCAGAACTCACCCCCTACAGCCTCCGAACCTATCTCTGTGTCCAATGATGAGATTTCATCCCTCATCAAAGGACTTAAGCCTAAAAAGGCTCCGGGCGCGGATGGCATCTCCAACCAAGCCCTAAAACACTTTGCTGAGCAGGTGTTAACCTTTTTATCTATTATTTTCAACGCCTGCTTCAACCTTAGTTACTTTCCCACTACATGGAAAGAGGCAACTGTGATTGGTATTCCCAAGCCAGGCAAGCCTCTCAACCTCCCCTCCAGTCATTGCCCCATTAGCCTCCTCAAGGCAATGGGCAAGCTCTTCGAAAGAGTCATACAAAGTCGTATGAGGCGCTATCTGTTTCCTACAGACGGTGACCCTCTTAATATCATTCCCCATCAATTCGGTTTCCGAGCGCAACACTCATTTCCCCAACAAGTTCACCGTATTGTGGAATATATCCTCAGCGGTTTTTATCCTCGTCGTCATAAGACCATCGCGGTCTTTTTCGACATAGCTAAAGCCTTCGATAGAGTCTGGCATACAGGCCTTATCTACAAACTGTACAAAATAGGTCTCCCCGATCGTCTAGTACGTCTCGTGGCCTCTTACTTAAAGCATCGTACCTTTCGTTTTAGACACGAAGGCACGCTATCTTCACAGCGCACTATCAAAGCTGGTGTCCCTCAGGGCTCAGTACTTGCTCCTCTGCTGTACATCCTGTTCACCAACGACATTCCCATCCCGTCAAAAGGTGTTCAGCTCTCCCTCTTCGCAGACGACACTGCTATCTACTGCAAAGGTATCTCACTACCTTTCATACGGAACAAGATTCAAAAGTCAGTTGACGACCTAGGAGCTTGGTTCAAAAAATGGCGCATCGATGTGAACCCGGAGAAGAGCTCCGCCGTTCACTTCGATTATAAACGACGCCGTCTCAAAAACACTCCACCAATACGTATGCTAGGGACCCCTGTCCCCTGGCATACGACTGCCAAATATTTAGGTGTCACTCTAGACACAGGGCTCACTTTCAGGCCCCACGTCAAAAGAGTAACCCGTCACGCACGTTTTTATCTGAGTAGGCTCAACAGCATGTTGGGCCGACACAGTAAAATGTACCTTAGAAACAAGCGTACCCTTTATAAGGTCTGTATACGACCAGTCATGTCCTACGCGGGCCCCGTTTTTGCCCACGCCAACCCTAAAATTATTAATGAACTCCAAATAGTTCAAAACCTTTTCTGTCGTCGAGCTGCGAACGCACCTTGGTACGTCCGTAATGCCGATCTTCATCGGGACCTAGAGCTCCCCAAAATTCAACAATTTCTCCAAAAACTCTCTGAGAACTTCTTCAAAGCCTCAGAGTCGCACTCAAACCATTTAATTCGTGAGGCAGCTACTTATGCAGCCCCACCCCCCTCTCGCTATCGAGTCCGCAGGCAGAGAAACTCTCTCTCGGACCCGTCTAATAAACTAACAAATGACCTGAACTGCCTCCTGGCGGCCCAGGCCAACTCTAATTAAATTAAATTATTATACTCATAATTAATTTGCCTTCGTAGGCACTCCCTCAGCGGCTCGTAGCTGCCTGCGCCCTCTTTTCCCAAAAGAGGGTCGCTCATGATAAGGCACAATAAAGCTTAATCAGCCGGTTGCCTGTCCCCAAATGCGGTTTTTAGAGGGTATCGCTTAGGGTCCCCGGTAGGATGTGAGTCCCTCATAACCACGATAGACCGGCTATGGTGGTATGCGTAATGCATTTTCCGCCTCCCTACGTATAGGGTAGCCCTTTAATTGCTTCGGGCGCAAAAAAAATACGTGTGGCACTCGGTGACTGCCGCGGTAAAGCTATTGCATAGCATTTTTTTATCAACTTATGCAATTATAATTATTTATTTATTTTATTTATGCAGTTAAGTCTTTGATATTAAATCAAGTTACAATTTATGAGCGTGGTGACCGATAAGAAAACATTTTTTTTTCTCTTATTGAATAAATGAGAAGTTAATATTGATTAAAATATTTTCAATATCTTACAATACATGTAGGTTATTCAGGAATTTTTATCATTGAGTTAGCAGCTAGTGTACACGCATACGTCTAGTCGCACGCACACAAACACCGTGCCGAAGTCTGCCGAGTGCCGAAATCTGCCGAACTGAAACGACGTTAGACGATGCACGGCTTTCAACGCCACACCTCCGTGCCCGTCGGAGTGGGGAGCGTGAGGTTTTTTTTTGTTACGAAATTTCTGGATTCGGTCCCCGCGCTCAAGGCCCGCGATAGAAGCTATGCAATAGCTTAAAAAAAAGTATGGTCGGCAGTCGATCTCCAGCCATTGAAAAGGCAACAGTAAGAAAAAGTACAAGTTTTTCCTCACCGCCGCTTACCTCCTATTTAAGCAAGACCAACGCGTTTCATTCATTTTTCGAACGGCGTTACGGCGATCCGTAACAGGATGTTTCCAGTAAAATTGGCTGCTTAATAGTATATGTAAAATTTAAAAAAGTTAGAGTCGCACTCAACCAAAATGCGCTCATATTTCGAAATGAAAGTGATATAGAAACGTATTAAAATAAAGTATTGTAAATCTTGTTGGCAAAATTATTCTCTGTCTCAATATTGCTATTACCCTAAGACCACAACACTTTTAAGTTAAACACTACTTTTTATACACTTAAATCACATATCGTGTTATTAAATTATGACCTTAAGATGGACGCTAAATGATTACTTGGAAGTTGTTTCTTAGGATATTTAAAAAATATTTTTAAGAAAACCATGCGTGCATTTCGTATGTTCACTCGTTTTGTGAGGGTCTCAGTAAGGAAGCCTAAGATAAATATTATTGTATTATAATGTTAATTAAATCTGTTTATTCATTTCATAATTAGAGGACTTCATCTGAGAAACTGTTCAGAAGATATTTAGTCAAAATATATTGAAATAAATTTACAAAATCAACTGAAAAACTATTGAAATACCTAAAAGTATATAATATGGTTATTCTTACTTTGAGCACTATACACGGTGATGGTTTTCCAACGCTTCCAGCTTTAGGCTCTTTCGTCCAACTTTCCGATGTTAACTCACCAGCCTCTGTCATTCCATAGCCTTGTAAAACTTTGATATCTGGAAATCTTTAAAAGTAATAACTACACTAAATGAAGTTTCACTTGAAACACACAGTTGAAACTTCATTTGCATTTTTTGATATAAAAATTCAATCACAGCTTTCCGTCCTATACAAATTCGTAAAATTTCTAAAATTGGTATAACACAGAGTATGTATTAAACATTATAATAAGTACATTTTAGTAAACATGATTTAGGTTTAATGAATTGAAATATTTAAACAAAACGCGTTGGTCATAAACTGTGACTATCCTAGTAAGAATACCAACTTATAGTAGTAAAACAATTATATTGTCATCAGTTCTTAATACGCCTGTAAAATTTCAGTAAATCCTGGACCTCTGGAAGTAGGTGATCACTGAATTATACAATTCAATTTCATTCATACATATATGCGCATACAGGTTAAAAGTAACATGAGAAGTGTAATAATAAGATTTTCTAGCGATTTTATTTGTAAACAAATTAGGCTATTGCCTCCAATAAAGCTAAGTTCATAATATATTCCATTTAATACTTATTTGGAAAGATTTTATGTGATCATATTATACATCATATTTATCGCAGTTGATTTGGTATAATATTATGTCTTTAGAAAAATTCTGCGATAGTCAAGTGTGGCGATTATGACAAGTCCTCCGAAGTGTTAAGGAAGCCAATTGTCAGAATGCTATCAGTTTATCACTCCATGATTAAATAAATTTACGAGAATAGTAATATTTAGTAATTTATTATTACGTTACAATTCATATTACCTTTTTTTGAAGTTCTCAATCGTTTTTGCATGAAGTGGACCTGAACGCGAATATATTATTTTAATGGAGTTAAAATTATATTTTTCCAGATCTTCTCGTTTAGACAAATAACTGACGAAAGATGGACTAAGCATTCCGATATTTATCTGCAACAAAAGAAATTGTCTCGCTAATGTTAAATTTGGTTAAGTTTGATTTTTTTAATAAATGTAAGTTACTGAAATGTTTTCCGATGCTTACTTGGCATTTATCCATACCCATTAATACATTTTCTTCTGAGACATCAACAGCATATACAACTTTTCTTCCAGCAGCTAAAAATTTATATGTCATAAAAGTATCATAGTTATGATACCATTCTCCGCACACAAAAGCTGTTTGCAGTGATTCGTCTTTAAACCTGAAATTATAAAAAATAATTACTCGTAATTAAAACATATTTTCATGGAATAAGTGTGGAAAACTAACATAGCCTAGTTGATGGTAGTATGGGGCCCATAATTAAGAATAAAAATGATGACGCAGTAACATCCCTGAGGACTAAGATGGAATTACTCGTTTACGGTAAAAAAGTACGCTCATCATACTAAACACATCAGTACTATAATGTACCTGCAGTGCAGGTGCAATTAAGCCATGGTGCAGGTCCTGCACCATGGGTTAATTTCGTATCTTACACTATTTGATATTGTTTGAATGTCAAGCACCATTTGATACCTTAATAAATAGTTTGTAATAATTAATTTTAAATAATGTGAATAAGTGAAACACAAAATTCGTTTATAATTTAAATTCAATTAAATAAAATTTTGAACGTACGCTTTTTAACAAATATCAGCATAGTAGTAATAAATATAATACTCCATTGCTCCTTTTTATTCCTTAAAATGGATCAAATCGTTCGTCAGTATTCACCCAATGCGCTTTGGTACGTATTTGCCTCCAATATAGTGCAGTTCACACAAGCGATAAATTCATTAACGCATTTGCGACTGTTTGCGATGGACGTCGAGACAGTTCTAACTGTAGCGCATTAGATAAGTGCATACCATAATTCAAATGTGGATTGCAATAAAATTTTGAGAAACAGACAATGGAAAATATTAAAGGCTCGTTCTGGTACGGTTCGCAAAATTCGGAATTTTCGTTATAAAGTCAAAATGCCATATTTATCCGAGTAAGTTTTATCCTCGGTTTGATGCCCATCGCCAACAGTTGATAATATGTAAGTGATTTTGCGAAAGGTTTGGAACGGTCATTTTATTTTTTGAAAAGAACAATGAACTATCACTTTCGTAATTTTTTTTAGTAATTCTGCTAAAAATAACAAATAATCAAATAAATGATAATAAACAATAAACATAACATATTCTCCATTCTTATGTAAATATGTGAGGCTATGAAAATTTTTAGCTTAATTTTTTTTATTTGCTGGAACTGTAAAGTTTCCAAAATATTGCTTCACTTTTTGTTGTGTTATAGTTTATGTTATGCTGGGGTCACACTAACGAGAATAGTCGTTAATTATCGCGTTGATGGACGTTGACTGTAGGTGCGACCACGACTTAACGTGTTAATTTGACAACGGTATTAACAATGCCGTTTGCCGTTTGGCGATAACTCGAGTGGCGGTTTACTACATAGCTATACCACGTTTGTCTCATTCAGTACGGTGAGCGCAACGGGGTCGCATGTATGGCTATGATGGAGCGTAATAATGAAAAAGTTATGACGTTTCTTGAGATTCTGCAACAGAACCATGTTTGTGAGATCCGAGACTCAAAAGTTTTAAGAATCGTATATCGCAAAATGATGTTTTGTGACGAATTATGCAATTATTAATTTTAAAAACAACTATCGAAGAAATTAAAAATTAGAAGGAAAGCCAATGTTTTCATAGAACTCATTTAAACAAATGTAAAAAGTCTTCAGGGAATATTGACGCCAGTTTAAACGCCGTTCAATGGTATCAAAATTGAAATGACGTTGATCCTTCAAGTATGGGCACGCTTTATCGCGTAACATTTAGGCCGGTTTTAGAGCTCGACCATCGGTCCTGATGATACGCATAACCGTTCGTCAGTTTGTAGCGTTCAGAGCTTTTCTGAGCAACGAAACTGGCCGGACTGGTATAGTCACAAACACGTACACGAAATGGACGCGTAATTGTTTAATTGCTGCTTCCTATATTCGTAAACGTATAAGGAAAAGAAGACGTAGATATCAAGTTCACCCAATCATCGCCCAAAGAGCAATTCAAGGGTAATTTACTACTTTATATTTACTATTGCGTGAAGATGAAGAAAATTTTTTATTACTTTAGAATGTCAATCAAAAGTTTTGATGAATTATCAGTGAAATTACAAGACAACTTAAAATATTAAAAAAAAGTAATTTTTATTATTATTAATAATAATAAAAATTTAAATTACTTAAATCACTAACACTACTTAATACCTATAAAATCAAACAATTTTATTAAAGTTTAGGTTCGATTTTCTTGACGATGATATATGCATCGCGTCGGTCGACCAACGGTACGCATGAGGACTCGCTCGACCGACCGTCCTCGTACGCAGTGCGTAGCTACATACGCGTGCGTACGGTCGGTCGAACACTGTAACGACTTGTGAATTTTCATACAAAAGGCAAGCACGCGACCGACGAACGCACCGACGGTCGGTCGAGCTCTACAACCGGCCTTAATGCAATAATTGTAGCGTTTATAGACATTAATGTTTTCCCTTAGAGCAGCCCCACCATTATTGGTACGTTGCTTACTGAACTGAACAGTCTTTTATTACAACCAATTATTGCCAATGCATGCAAAAATAGTTACTGATTGTGTGATGTGACAAATAAGCTATCTGTCTAGAGCAACCCGTGGACATCTCTAACGAACTTCAAAAACAATAAAATATAGTAGTATGCCTTTTTTTAATAATAAAATAAAATGATGAATAGCCTACAATTGTTTTAATATTCCATACCCTTAAGAGCAGAATACAGTTGTGGATGCGTACGGAAACAGATAAAAGGGCAGATCTGATGGCAGACGATGCCGGGGAGATTGACACCGCCCGAATTTTAATGATTTCCAAATGGATCATTTTTCCATTTAACCTTTTCATAATTTATTTATGCATAAGTATAAATTTTTTAAGCTGAATCAGAATTATGAAAGTTTTTCTGCTTATATTTGCTTTTTCGGATACGTGTTAGTTACAATAGATTTAAAAATGGCGATATTCTTTTCAAGAAAATTATTAACGGATATAAAGACGAGGGTAAGAAATTAATATTCATAATTATATATCACTATATTCTAAAACTGTTTTATTTTGTGTAACAACAAATGACGATATGTTTTTTTCTTTCCTTAACACATGCGGCTGCGGAAATTTGGTTTTATTCAATTGACTTTGAAATTCGGTTTAGTACATTTACGAAAACCTCAATAATTTATATTATTTATAGATCTATGTGCTCGATGCATAAACAAAAATGTTTTATGTCTTTTTATTTAATATTTTACTCATAGAAGTCAAAGTCAAATCCAAAAATATTATAATTAAGATTCAATTATAAATGCGATGCATTTTTCATTTGTATTTGCTATGAAAACTGTCATATCGTAATAAATCTTCTTGCCTTGACTTTGTAAGAACTGTTTCTTTGGTGTTGTTTTTTTATTTCTGTGACTTTGACTTACGATAATACAGTTTGGCTTATCTTTAGCATCGACTCCTACTTAAAATAAAAAAGAGCCTATTTTGACTAAATGTTTAAAAATTCTATTTATACGAGTAATATTTTAAAACTGATTTGAAATTAACTTACTCATTTTGAGCGCTATTAAGAATGCAATTTAAATGTGTCAACTCTACTCCTTTAGGCATGCCAGTGGTTCCAGACGAGTACAAGATAAATGCTGTATCAATTTGCCCGACTACTTCAACAGGCTCAAACTTTGTAATATCAACTCGATCTGTTATTAAATCCTTGACTGGGACTGCATCATTCAGCCCTTCATCTAATGATATGAATATCTTAATACAGTCGAAACTTTGTAAAATATCCTTGTGCGTGTCCCAAAATTTGTTTGAAAGAATGAAATATTTTGGATATGTAATTGACAACTTATGTTTTAACACAGCTGGAAATAAATAAACGAAATACATATACAATTCTCGAATATCATATCATATATTGACGATGCGTTTTAAAGTAATCATGGTTAATTTCTGAATGGTTTGGTCGATTCAGGTCAATATATTTTGAATAAAACTATATTTACGAATTCTATCGCGTTAAATTTACTTATTTTATCTTATTTTTAATTTCCGACATTTCGGGTGCTTTACAGCACCCATGGTCACAGAAGGGACTGAGATATTTGACATTCCAATGTCATAGTTAGCCCGGCTACCTTCATTTTTTTTAATATCAATTTTTGGTCCGATTTACGCCGAACCAAATTACACTACACATTGAATAAAGCTATTATGTACAGATTTTATCGCGTTTAATTAATGATTTACTTATTTTTACTATCCCGACGTTTCAGGTGCTTTACAACACCCAAGGTCACGGGAGGGACTGAAATGTTTGACGTCGCAATGTCATAGTTACGCAAAACGAGCTTATAGTATCATGAAGTCTTGCAGTGGTATGCTTGGGTTTGGGTTTAATTTTGTTAATTATAGGATCCCAAGCAGATGGCAGCACCCATCAATCTTCTCTATTGAAATTTGGATGTTTTTTAATTTCAATAGCCTCGCGTATCATCCTTGGTAGGAATCAGTGTTCTTTTGAGAGGATTTGTGGTTTATTAAATCTGATGTAATGGTGGAGACGATCTTGAACATGATCACAGACTGCAGACTTCCCGAAGCGTCGGTGCTTCAGGCGAGCTATATGTTAGATCGGACCAAAAATAAATATTAAAATACTGAAGGTAGCCGGGCTAACTATGACATTAGGACGTCAAACATCTCAGTCTCCTTCATGGAGGTTGGAAAAAAGGATACCGATCGCTGTACAAAATAGTGTCCCAGAAATATGAACAAAATAAGTGAGGCGCTGCGATCACTATGTAGTTTGAAATGATCTATCAACGTTTAATATACGTGTATACAATATCATTCAAAGAAAATAACGAAATTATTATTACTTTATATACATATTATTATTTATTAATAAATAAATTATAAATTATGTTTTTTTATAATTATAGCAAATATAAATTATTAATTATTATTGATTTATTATTATTTATTTTCTTAAAATAAATAAAATACAAAAATTACGAAGCATGATTATTTTCGATAAAATTTTTACTATTTTATTATTTTATATTTTATTTTTAGTATATTTTTACGATTAAATTTGTACATTATTCAACTAACTTTATCTACTTGTACTCATAAATAGCTAACTTCGCAGATAACACTTACCGACGGCTGTGCGGCTATAAATTCTACAAATTTTCGGGGACAAGCGGGCTAATGCTTTAGCACATAGAGATCGTTCTCCTTTTCTCTTAACTCCGTGCCCCCCCCCCCCCCCCCCGTGACTATGGGAGCTGTAAAGCACCCGAAACGTCGGGAATTAAAAATAAGATAAAATAAGTAAATTAAGCGCCATAGTATCCGTAAATATTGTTTTATTTAATGTGTATATTTTTTTTCGAGACAATTGTTCATATTTTTTAAAATTAGTCTATGGTTTACAAATAACCAGAGTAAACCCTGATGGCAAGTGAATGCTGTTTTCCATAGACATCTACAGGATGTCTATGGACATCAGCATTCACTTGCCATCAGGGTGGATCTATCCTCTATTAAGAAACATAATGCGGATACGTCGTCATCTCTGAGAACAAAGATGAAATACCTCGTTTCCAGAAAAAAGGGTCTCCTATTTTCTACACGCACAATACGGAACACCGCAGCAATATGCTGCTATTTCATGATATTCCGAGAGAGCGCGGTTCATCCCCGGTCGAGTTGGCTCATTCGTTTTACAACTACCTCTACCACATAAATATATACGTAATAATTATGTTGGGATCCGATAATTCACGCAGTAGTGAAGTTATTTACTATTAAATTCTTTATTTACAATTTGTGCTGGTTCAACGACATAAAAGCCTATTCCTTTTTAAAAAGGCCGGCAATGCCTCTGCAATTGCACAGGTTTTGCAGTTGTTCATGGGCAGCGGTAATCACTTACCATTAAGTATGCTCGTTTGCTCCCTCTCCAAAAAAATACAGACTCAACAGATGGCGCTATGTTCGGGTAATTTTTTTTTAAATTTAGTCTGTAAAAAGCCCAGAATGAGCTCAAAATTAAATTAATAAAACCACCAATTCCCGGTAGAATTGTCTGACCAATGTATGCCTGGCCAGCTAGGAAGTACATTAGAAATCTTGTGAAATGGAAACCAAAATAAAAATTAATATCACCTCTGCCGCTATATACATCGTACGGCGTGTAAGTCGCGCCGGTAAATATTATAGCCAGTACCGTCGGAATAAAATCAATGCGTTTTTCGCATCCAACTGCAACTATATCACCTTTTTTTACTCCTAATCTTATTAATGAAATAGACAAAGAAACAGCGTATCTAGTAAGTTCTTTATATGTGAGAGTTTCTCCTGTTACTGCATTTTCCTAAAAAAGAAAAAGGTTTATTTTTATTTTTGATTAACTTTAGTTGAAAAAATATGATTATGAATTTAGAAACTCACCAGGGCCATTCCTTCCTGGTGTCTTCTGAACTTATCTAACATGTACTTGCCAAAATTCAAATGGGCTGGAACAAGAACATCTTCCTTGCCATAAATATAAAGTTCATTTTTAAACATTTTATTTTGTTTATTTTTTAATAATCACACTCACAGCTTAACTGTTGCTGCACCCAGTTAAAAATAAAGAAATCCAGTAGGTACTTGAATATATACTAAGTAGCTTATTGATTTCTCGAGATAATAAAGGTCACTGTACCAACATTGGTATTCATTACAAATAAATAGAAACATTATCTGTCCAAATTAGCCCTTCGTTTACAGCTCAGTTATTAAAATTAAATGTACTCTTTATGAGTTGTTTTTAAATTCAGTTTCATACGCAACTGATAACGCATTGATTAAACATCAATTAGAACACAAGAAAAACAAATTTATCATTGAAACGTGGAATTTTTACAATATGTAGCTTTCGTTTGACTAAGTACAGAATGCCGTGCTGTAATAAAAATTCAATATTGTTGCATATATATTGGCTGTAGGAAAATAGTATTTGATTTACATTAAATAAATACATTACTGTTTTAATGCAATGACTGAAATATTAACGTTTTAATGATTGGTAACCCTTTTATAGCAGTTAGTGTAATACTTAATCATCATCGTAATTATTCCAGCCTATAAATCCACCGCTAGGCATCCATAGGCTTTCCCCAAGATATGCCATAAAACACAGTCCTGAACCACCTGCATCCATCGATCGACTTTCTGTTCTTATTACAAGCAGAGTGATTGCGTGACTTTTAACTCTGGTGCGAATCGTTTGATGGTGAGAATGATTCAGCCACTGCGATATTGATTTTTTATTACGGTAATATACATATATCACTTTATTATCATCATCATTACAACCCTTCACAAGTCCACTGTTGAACAAAGGCCTCCCCCAAGGAATGCCACAAAGCACGGTCCGAAGCCACCTGCATCCATCGACTATAATATACCCCCCATGAGCAATGACGCAAATATATCACTTAGTACGTTATTATTGTAAAAAAAACATAGGGTTATAATAAATTTTAATGTATTTACACAATTAAACGAAACTACACCTTAAACGTCATAATTAGGCCGATCACAATTATCATCGAAGTTACACAATCACATTGCTCGTCATCACTATCGAGTGGGGGGGCCGTCCTATGCTCCGCTTCTGATGCTCTCTCCATCGGTTGCCACTTGTTCGAGTTATACATTGCCACTTTAGCTCACTAATCCATTGTATATATCTTAGTATTATCATATTCATCATTTAGCTTATCACAAGGCTACATTTGAAAAAAGAAAATTAAAGGACAAAAGAAATAAGTTTATTTAGTATCAAATTTTAGCCATTTGCTTACAATAATAAAAATAACATTATATAAATTTGATAAATGGTAACTGAAAAGGTACCCAACACAGCATAGTCTCGGTACTACAAAATACTTCGACGCTGATCTTCCGAGGGTGCCAATAAAATTAAACAGTAACTAAACTTAACAATATTCATTATTTTGTAGTTATCAAGTCAATATGCACACAAATATTTATACCATAAAAACATTATCACATACATATTTATAATAAAAAATATAATAGAAACTTCTAAAATAAAATTAAAGATAAACGAATAAACAGAATAGAAAAGTATGTAAAACACAGTAGGTATATAATTTTCAATAAGTTGACTTTTAAATATTTAGTAAGTATTTTTTGTAATTATATTTACACGAACAAATTAAATCGGTAGTGAAATGTTGTTCCAGCATTTTGTGGCAGAATAACAAAAGCTAACACGAGATGCAGCTGTGCTATGTCTTGGACATACTATATGGGTTGCATTTCTAAATTTTAGCGGTGGTAGAGCCACGCGGCAGCTTTTGCTGTTGTACATATGGGCCGGCCCGAACCGGGATGGTACTGCAACCCCACAGAAGACCAGCGTGAAGTAGAAGCTCCGCTTCTGCATTTCGTCTGGTGAGTGCAGGTGGCCGGAGACCAATTCCTCTCCTCTCCCTTAAAGTGGTAGCGGCGTTAAAAACAACACTACCCCAGGAAGGTACCAGCACCCCTGGTGACGGAGAATCCCTCGCTAAGCATCCACTTTCACGCTACCTTCTCTTCCTGAGCGTGGGTGCTCAGGCTGCCAGTGCTGCTGCTCTGGGGGAGGAGGGTGAAATTCCGGACGAGGAGCAAACGGAGAAATAAGACAAAATCGCCCCTTGCCACGCTATGCGTGAATTTCTGCAACATCAGGGGACTTCATTTAAATCTTAACGCCATCTACTATCATCTGGAAACTGCGAAGCCGGCCTTGCTCTTTCTAACCGAGACACAGGTGTTCTCTCCAGCTGATATTTTGTATCTCTCCTACCCGGGGTACAAATTAGAACACTCCTTTGTGCCCCGGGCTCAAGTTTGCGTGTACGTCGGATAGGACATTTGTTTTCGACGCCTCAGCAGTCTTGAAGGTACGGATCTGTCCATCTTATAGCTATGCTTAGACAACGACAACCATCCCCGCATCTACGGGTGCCTATGAACGCAGGAATGGTTGTCGCTATCCATAGTCATAATGCCGACACAGACCGACTTATCGACCACATCCAAATAGCTACAGATACCGTTCTACAAGAGTTCCCATCCGCAGAGAACGTGACGCTTGGTGATTTTAACGCCCACCGCGCCGAATGACTTGGTTGCCGTTTAACCAATCATGCGGGTAGATCTGTTTGTGACAGATTTCTAGATGTGGAAGCTTGTATACCTTCCCTGTTGGATCTTCTACTAACCTTTCTTCCAGACGGAAAGCAGGTCTCCGTCGATGCCACTCTTCCTTGGACCATTGTCTGATCCGAAGTATGGTGCCACTTACGTTTCCATCGCGGTTGCGTTCTAAAGGTTGCCACCGTGTTCGGCATTTATAGATCGGTTGATTTGGACAGGATGCATCTTCACTCTTTTTTTGTACATCCTACCCTTGAGGGTTTGCTTCTAGCTAGATGATGCCAACGCTGTTGCTGATTCTGTCACTGTTGTGGTGCTACAGGGAATGGAAATTTTTATTCCATCATCTGTGGTACCTATCGGAGGTAGAACCCAGCCATGATTTGGCCGCTCCTGCAAAATTGAATAACGCTATAGGAAAGAGTGGTACCAGGCCTGGGCTGGCGCATCGACGTCTCGGGATGCAAATACCAGCGTTCTTAAAGGAACCACCAGAAGACACAAGTATGTGCTAAAAGAACCCCTTTGTCGTATCTCCTTCGCTTCAAGGTTACATATCGAGTGACGAGCAGTTTTGTGGTCACTTGGAAGAAAGGTGCAAATTGCCGTCTAAAATGCTTGGCTCTAAAAATCTTTGAGTATTTACACATTCGAAGTCATATGCCCCCTTGTTGTATATAACAGTAGACTATCTAGTAGTAGTGTTGAGCGCAAAAAGATATTTTGAAAGCAATTTTGTACAGGCAGCGCATTTTTCTAATTCAAATTGCGTGTAAGTCATGATAAGCGTATCATTCTTCGGTGTTATTAAGCAGAGATTATTAAAACAACAATTTAATTAAACGATCTCTTTTGCAAATTTTTGGAATTATGCCGGTATTAGCTAGATTGAGTTCGCCCTAAACTACAGATGGCGTTAAACACAATACGATACGAAAATACAATTTTACAACATGGCGTATTTTTAGAAATTAAGGTTATAATTTATAGCTTGTTAATTGTCATTGGATTTAAGGCAAGATTGATATGATGTGCTATATAAAATAATGCGTTAGTCTAACATACCATACAATTATTTTAAATAGCTTGTTTAGGCTATTCACTTTTATGAAAAAGTACCAAATCCATTTACCTAGGTTGCTTTTGTATTTATAGTCGTATTTGCACGAATTTTGGACTTACCTCTCAGCCTCACTTATAAATTACAATATTACTTATAAACACAGATTTTACGACAGCCAAAATTAGGTTAGTTTGTTTAGAAATAAAATAATAACTTATTAAATATTACACAACAATCGACAATTGTTTACGTTCCCGTTTTATATGATAACACATCAAAAAATTAAAATACGAACATTAAACATAGGCTTCCTTCATAAATGGACACGTAGAATAATCCTTTGCCACTTTGAAACAGAAAATACCTTTCACTTGGGGTTTTATATAGTGTAAATAATTAGTGTTATAATTATATTTTATATATATTTTTAAGTTGAGGTATATATTTCTATGGGCCAACATTCTTAAAATTTAAGTCCTTGATGTCTGAAATAAAGTTATTGTATATAGTATTGTATTAACAGATCGTATTTCTCCTTTGCGGTATAGAGCAGTGATCCTCGCTGTGAAGGGATTACAGAAACGGCTGACAGAAATTCCCTTGGTGAGCCTTGGCGAGAGACAAGAATGCACATGTTCTCGAAGAAGGTCGAACTAGATTTAGTTGTGTTTTAACCCTGTTCCTCGGAAAGCACGTAAAACCGTTTGTTCTGTGCCTGATATATCTACGATCGTGTTAGATTTCTGATGTCTCATTGGACAATAAGAGTGGCGAAATGAATACATGCTGGCGCTTATACTCATGATCTTTAAATGTTGTTCTCTGCAAAAGGCTAGTCTCTAAACATTAGTAAAAAACTAAATTATTTTGTATGACAATAACTTTATAATAACACTGGAGAAACAATGCATATTACGAGTAAAAGTTAAGAAGTAAAACGACAACATTTTCCTGTTCCTGTACTTCCCATCAGTTGTCGTTCTTATAAGACAATTTTTCTCGGAAAATGCTGGAGTACTTACTTTTTAAATTTGTACAGTTTAACTTTGAGGGTGTTTAATAGTGAAGGCAGCTTACAAACTTAAATTGCGTAAGAACAAACATCCAGACCCGGAAATTTTATTTATCATCACCATCATCATCATCATCATCATCATTACAACCCTTCACAAGTCAACTGTTGAACATAGGCCTCCTTCAAGGAATGCCACAAAGCACGGTCCGAAGCCACCTGCATCCATCGACTATAATATACCCCCCATGAACAACGACGCAAATATGTCACTTA